TGTAACAGCAACCTATGTAAAATAGTGGGAATTTAATATTGTTTACTTCAGTAATTACTCATTCTTGAGATAACATCAGAAGTAGAACCAGATAAATGTTTAACAACGGAAAGTTTGAATTTGATATTAGATTTGAGGCACTTCAAAGTGTATGATGGTTTTACTTCTTCTCTTATATTGTATTCAGTGATGGTAATTGCGAATGAAATCAAAGGAAAATGGCTTATACTATTGAGGAATTACTGATTCTAGTCATGATATCAAAAACAAAATCAATTCTATTGCTGTGCTCAGTATTTTATTTGGATGAAATTATTCAATTTATTATTGACGTTTAATAGAACTTGATCCTATTTAAATGACATTGACAGAAATAATATTTCGATTTACAATGATTACAAACAAGAACAGACTTAATTACATTATAGCGATTCATCAACAGACTGTTGACAGTAACATGCAACTACCGGCACATCAACACCTTTAGCGCAAAATCTTCTTTGGAATCCAAGCCGAATGAAATTTGAACTATATTCATTAGGTCTGGTGGTATAATGTTTTGGACTAATTTGGGATATCGTTCTTTTAAAACTTTCACTTTGAAATCAAGGGAAATAAATTATTTATGTGTTGAATATGAACAAAATCGTTCAGTCTATCTATCTATCTATCTATCTATCTATCTATCTATCTATCTATCTATCTATCTATCTATCTATCTATCTGTCTGTCTGTCTGTCTGTCTGTCTGTCTGTCTATCTATCTATCTATCTATCTATCTATCTATCTATCTATCTATCTATCTATCTATCTATCTATCTATCTATCTATCTATCTATCTATTTGTCTGTCTGTTTGTCTGTCAGTTTGTCTGTCTATATATCTTTCTATCTTACAGTATTGTCACTTAATAATGTGAGATGATCATTCTCAATTGTAGTACTCTGAAATAAATCAATACAATATAAAACATTGCAAAATATATAAATAATATTTTAATCATTCAGAAATATTAAACCACATTATAAATCATGGCACTGTAAATACTTTTGATTTTTATGTGTCGTCCTTTTATTAATTAGTTTGAAGAATAGATATCTGACTAAATCAGGTTTTGACTAACTAATATAAAACTTTAACATTTGGTTTCATTTAGAATTGGTCTTTTATTAATTTTTTATCCCAACCCATATTTGCAACAAATTTCAGGTAGCTCCTATATCTATATTTACATAATGTCCTTCCCTTGATACCTGCAATCCAGGATATTCCAAGAACTGTCAAATGCTAAATTAATAAAAGGGTTAGAGTAAATATACCAAATACACATACACACATGAAAACACCCCAAAACAACTTAGAGACAAAACAAACTCTCATGACCTGAGGCCAATACTAAGTTATTTGGATAGATGTATGTTTGAAACTTATCAAACATGTAAACATGATCTTCATGGAAGTCTTCATCGGCTCTGAATTCAATTGTGACTGGAACTTAAAATAAATGTGCTCAACTACTTGCAAACAAATGTGACTTAATTAAAATAACTTGCTTCCAAAAATATGCATGTCCATAGAACCAATTATGGTTTACATTATTAATTAAAAAGTGAATATTTACTTACAATCATGAGCAAAAATGGCAATATTTTCGAAAGCCTTTGCTTGTACAGGTGTCATTCGACATATCTATGGCATTATCCAATAATCATTTATCCAAAGTAAGGCTATTATCATGTTCTTAAAATACTGAAATGTTATTGTTGGTTTGTCTTAACCTTATTATAAATCACATTATAGATGGCGCCTAGTCTAAACGGTGCAGAAATCTCTATCGCTGACCCACATTATCCGAGCCCGTTACTTGAACCCACGAAGACGGATTTGAATAGCAGTGATCGTAAAAGGCAAGCTCTTTAGTCCATATTGGCCACCCGAAGAATTGTAAATGGCACTGTGGAGCGATGTTTAACGTCCATCGCGTAAATTATACATAAATTGTGTTTGTGTTCTTCTATGATTAATCCAAGCCTTGTCCGTCGCTGGGGTACACGTTAGTTGAATTATTCAATGAACCTTATTCTCTTACTTAGGCACAAGTATAAAATCCTTTTCATGAATATGGCTTTATGCATCACATGCAGCTACACAATTTAATATCAGCATTTATGACTCTCAGAAGCACTGGAAATCACCTGCATCAATGCCTATGAATACACGCTTCTACTGTCTGCAATTACGAGTAATGTATGTAGACATTACATACATTACGGAGAGATGCATGATAATGAGAGAATTAGTTTATCATGTCCTATTTGAAAGATGAGGACAGAGCTGTATTAGCTTAAAACTAGTTCTATTTTGTTTGATGTGCTTTTTGCAAGTGGTAGCTATTGAATGTTGACTGTAATTGGTTCTCATCAGTTTTTCCTTTAATCCTGAAAGAAAACAGCGAAGGGGATTCCAATTAAAATAAAAAGAAGTAGAACCAGCAAGTGAATAAAGCCAATTCCACCCCAAAAAACACAAGCTTACGGGTTTTGTTTTGGCCATAAATATTAGTTTAGGAATACCTTTTATCCAGAAAAGTTGATAAATATGTTCTCCGTTCTGAAATATTGTTGTAAAATGGAAATGGAAATGGCCAAAGGTATTGGATTATTATTACATAGTGTATTAATTGGCAAAGCTCTTGAAGTCTGTACTTGTCTGTTAGTACAACAAAGTCCTGATTACGGTATCGTTCAGGAACTTATTTTTAATGGTTGGTAGTTTGTGCCTGATGCATTTTGACCAAGATATATGAACTGAAAAAATCTGGAGACACTAAAAACGAATCTGCAAGACGAAAACTGTCAAAATATCGATAACCGCAGAAAACTCGTTTTGAATGATGAGATTCAGAATTAGGTCCTCTGCTAAGACTTCTCTTGTTGAGCAAGAAGTCGTAACGTTAGAAAATATTGATCGTACAGCTGACGATCCTTCCTTGATTCATAACGATTCTTTTCTCAGAAAAGTAAGAATCATAATCAAAAAAATACTATTCAAATGAAACTATTTATAAGAGGCCAAGGTCACATAAATATATTAAAGGCAATCAATGTATAGGGTCAAACATATCCCAATCTGCTTTTGTTATGGAGAATTATGAACCATTCATGTCAAAAGGTTCTATATCACTCTTTAGTGATTCTGACTTTCAAATCCCAGCCAAACGTTTATGGAAACAGGACCAGTACAAAGCCTTTTATTCTGGGGTACGTTGCTTATTTTTGATAAATCTTTTCCTAATCAAAGTGAACTTATTCAGGATGAAGAGTGCTTGGATAATGGTCCTCTTCATTGTGTAAATTTGTCATAACCAGTGACATTCGAGCTATTGTGGACTTTGCTCGTCTAGGAGATTCATATATAACTAGATAAAGGCTTAACTGGAGAAATATTTGTGCTTTAATCCTTTTGTAATTGTCAAACTTTGTTTTGATTCAAAAGTCAATCCTATTGTATATAATTTCCCATATTTATACCCAGCTTGTGCAATTACTAGAGTGATGGCAGAGAAAGCTCGTGCGACTTATGTTAATCAGGAAATGTTTCCTTTATCTGTCACATTCAATGTTCACCCTATGTATGAGGTGACTTTAGGATCTATCAAATTGTATTGATCACGTTCATTCTCTTTGCATTGCTTTCATTCACTCTCTTTAATCTAATCAGGGTGACAAACAGTAATCAGTAATATTTTGAACAGGAAAAATATCTTGAGACCTCCTGTTTGTTTCCAATTGTTTTTAGCGAAGCTTAAGCCACAGAAGCATATTATTCAAAATGAAGCCCCATCTAGTAATGAGAGATTGGTTTACTCTCAAATTTTTTCTTCTCAGTCTTCTCGACAAAAAAATTTATTATAAGCTCTTGAATCATTTTTATTAGTCAAAATTTAAAATGAATGTTTCTAAATACCTTAAACCTTGTCACCCTTGTCAAATGATAAAGAAAAACCATCAGAAAATACCAAATACTTATTTGAAAAATCTTCCAGTGTTTGATAAACCAAATAGCAGAATAATGTAGGCAGAGTTCGCCCCTTTCACTACATCAAGTCTGGTAACCAATACTTGTAAACCATAATATTTGTATCCACAAGATTCTCAGAGGTATCTCATTAGAGGAATACTAACACCAAAAACATGGCAAAAGCTTTGACAAAACTGTGTTAATACAATTTGGCCTTCAACAATCTGACCAATCCAATCGGGGGTAAAATTCTAAGTCTGAAATTATCATGCATGCTATGTTTGAAATAGGCAGACAAACAATTTGTCCTCTGCTTATCACCCTGAAAACCAAGAGAGTTTAGAAAGAGCTCATGAAACATTAGAAACTTAGATTCTATTATATCGTTTTCATACTGGAAAATATTGAAAAGATGCTGTTCATTTACTGTTGATTGCTGTTAGGAAATCAGTTCAGATGTCTTTAGAATTTAGTGTCTTTGAATTAGACAATGGACGTATTGTCCGTGATCCTTTTGAAGATTGAAAAAGTATTCTTCTGCACTCTGTATCTTATTTCAAATATTAATTGTCGAAAGCTTATGAAGTTGAGAGAATTAATCTTCACTCTAATCGATTGAAGATAAAATAAAGTTATGAATGAAAAGCAAAGGTAGAGAATATGGAGCATGGTGATCGAGTTCTGGCTCTCATGTCTTCATTTACAAATCCTCATCTGACTAAATGTTATGGTCTTGACACAGTCGAGTTACTGATTTTTAAGGTAGCTTTAACAATTTTTCAGTCATATCGTCACGATGTCTGCAGTGTGGCAGTTTATAGTGATGTCTAGCACTGTAGTATCATGCCGCAGACATGTAGCATGATTTCCCACCCAGTCACATTATCCTGACACCAGGCCGAACAGTCCTAACACAAAACCTCTTAATGCTGAGCGACAAGCGTGACAGCTGTTAGTACCATTTTTCTAAGTCTTTGGTATGAATCGACCGGGGATCGAACCCACGACCTCCCGCATCCGAAGCGGACGCTCTGACCCCTAGGCCATCTGAGCGGTCTATAGTATTATGTTCAAAGGATCATGTATATTAGCCCACACTCATCTTAGCTCTAAACGACTACCATTTAGCGTTTGCATTTAAGGTTGTACATATAAAACATTTGATAACGAAGTATTTGTAATATATATATATATATATATATATATATATATATATATATATATATATATATATATATATATATATATATATATATATTCTAATATCATGCAAATATTTACGATTAAAAGCTCTTTGAAGTATTTTACTATTGAACCTGAGAAAACGAACGCAGACTTACAATCATAGAAGCATAGTCGACTACAGTACAATGACAATATTGTGTTCATCTTCATATTTGGACAGGTGTTACGCGACATGTCCAAAGAATATCAGAAAGCTCACTAACCAGAAAAAAGAGTAGTATCGTCAGGCGTTTGCCTACATAATCAGAAAGGACAGAGGAGATAGATAATTGAATTAGTCTTCAAACTTCAAAACGCCCATAAAGTTCAGAATTAAGAAAGCACGAATAATATACTCCATGATTATTGCCACAGGACAATTTTAGTGACTTCAGTAATTATTGCATATAGGAATAAAACATGATTAAAAGGAAAACATATTGTCAATTAAAGATTAATGTTACTGCTATAATATGATAGCTTCTCTACGCACAGTTCATCAGACATTATTTAACATTACATAGTTGTTGAAGATAAAGTGCTTGAAAGTTTGGGGTTCGATCGCCAATGATCGAGCGAAACAATCCATGACAACAATATGAATACAATAATAAAACATCGATAATGACATACACTGTGATGAGAGAATGAAGGACTAAAATGCCAGGATAATGTATCAAACGCGTTAGAAAATTCAACAATGTTCGTGAAAATAAATGCACTGCAATGTCACCCTATAATACTTACATTCTGGTCATTTCAAGTCTTAAGCAAATTTTCAGAAAGAGGAACTTATTTATCTATTTCATTTTGTGCAAAGAGGGATTCTGAAGCTAATAATTTGGGTCAAAACTAAGCTTGTGTATTAAGGGGAAGGATATGTTTGTCTTGACCAGCGAGTTCTAATTCTTTTTATTGTAATTGAAATTCTCTTTCACTGTTTTCTTTTAGGAGTAAACAAAAAACTGATGAGAACCACATACTATCGATGTTCAATAGCTACCACTTCCAAAAAGTACATTTCTTCCAACAGAATAGAACTGGTTTTAAGCTAATGCAGCTCTGTCCTCATCTTTCAAAGAGGAAAAAGACAATCTGATTCTCTCATTATTAGGCATCTCTACGTAATGTGTGTAATGTCTACATACATTAATCGTATTATCAGACAGTAGGAGAGTGTATTGAGATGCATTGATGCAAGTGATTCCCATTGCTTCTGAGCCATAAATGTTGCTAATAATTTGTGCGGCTTCATGTGATACATGATACCATATTCATGACACGGATTTTATACTTGTGCTTGAATAAGAGAATAAGGTTTATTGCATAATTCATCCAACTTTGTGCGCCCTAGCGACGGACAAAGCATGGCTTAATCCTACAAGCATACAAACCACCTCGAATGTATAATTTATGGGATAGACGTAACGCATCGCTCTAAGAATGCCTTTTTCGGTTTTTCCTATGGCAAAAATTGCCTAAAGAGTTTGGATTTACCGATCACTGTTATTCAAATCCGTCCTCGTAGGTTCAAGTAACGGACTCGGCTAACTAACGTGAGTAAGCCTTAAAGGTTGCCAGTAGCGTCTTGTGGGTCAGTGGCTTTTACAGGGGGGGTCAAAGGTTCTTCCTGCAACCGTTAGACTGGGCGCAACGTATCATGTGCTGTATAATGTCTAATGTCGTTGAGACAAAACAACAATACCCTGTCGGTAATTTAAGAACAGGATAATAGACTTACTTTGGATAAGTGATTTTTGGATAATGCCTAAGGCAATAACATTTCAATATTATAAAAACATGCAAATAGCTTTACTTTGGATATATGTTTGTTTGATAATGACTTAGGTATGTCGAATGACCCCATTTCAAGCAAAGGCATTTGTAGAGTGTTTTCATTTTATTGCATGGCTGTAAGTACGTATTCACATTCTAATTAATAATGTAAAACATAATTGGTTCGATTCAGAAACATATTTTAAGAAGCGAGCTGTCTTAATTATGCCACATTTGTTTGCAAGTGGTTGAGCACACTTATTTTAAGTTCCAGTCACAATTGTATTCAGAGCTGATTAGGAAGACTTGAATGAAAATCATGTTTTCATGTTTAATAAGTTCCAGTCACAATTGAATTGAGAGCTGATTAGGAAGACTTGAATGAAAATCATGGTTATATGTTTAGTAAGTTCCAGTCACAATTGTATTCAGAGCTGATTAAGAAGACTTGAATGAAAATCATGTTTTCATGTTTTATAAGTTCCAGTCACAATTGAATTGAGAGCTGATTAGGAAGACTTGAATGAAAATCATGGTTATATGTTTAGTAAGTTCCAGTCACAATTGTATTCAGAGCTGATTAGGAAGACTTGAATGAAAATCATGTTTACATGTTTAATAAGTTCCAGTCACAATTGTATTCAGAGCTGATTAGGAAGACTTGAATGAAAATCATGTTTACATGTTTAATAAGTTCCAGTCACAATTGTATTCAGAGCTGATTGGGAAGACTTGAATGAAAATCATGTTTTCATGTTTAATAAGTTTCAAACAAACATCTGAATCATACTTTATTGATCTCAGTTCTTGAGAGGTTGATTGTTTTGTTTCTAAGATGTTTTGGGTGTTTTCATGTGTGTTATTGTAGGTCGTATATTTGCTGTACCCCTTTTATTAATCTAGCATTTGACAGTTCTTGGAGTATCATGGATTGCAAGTATCAAGGGAAAGACATTATGTAAACATAAATATAGAAGCTACCTGAAATTTGTTATAAATATGGGCTGCAATACCCAAATAATAAAAGATCAACTCTAAATGCAACAAAATGGTCAGATTGTATATTAGTCAGTCAAAACGTAATTTAGTCAGACATCGATCCTGATTACTAAAAGAATGACATAAAAATCAAAAGTAATTACAGTGCCGTGATTGATAATGTGGTTTATTATTTCTGAATACTTAAAATAGTATTTATATATTTCGCAATGCTTTATATTGTATTGACATATTTCGGAATGCTACAAATGAGAATGATCATCTTATACTATTAAATTAAAATAGTGTAAGATAGAAAGATATTGACAGACAAACTGACAGATAGATAGATAGATAGATAGATAGATAGATAGATAGATAGATAGATAGATAGATAGATGGATGGATGGATGGATGGATGGATGGATGGATGGATGGATGGATGGATGGATGGATGGATGGATGGATGGATGGATGGATGGATGGATGGACGGACGGACGGACGGATGGACGGACAGAGAGACCGATAGATAGATAGATAGATAGATAGATAGATAGATAGATAGATAGATGGATTGATGGATGGATGGACGGACGAAAGGACGGATGGACGGACGGACAGACAGACAGACCGATAGATAGATAGATAGATAGATGGATGGATGGATGGATGGATGGATGGATGGATGGATGGATGGATGGACGGAGGGACGGAAGGACGGATGGACGGACAGACAGACAGACAGAGCGATAGATAGATAGATAGATAGATAGATAGATAGATAGATAGATAGATAGATAGATAGATAGATAGATAGATAGATAGATAGATAGATAGATAGATAGATAGATTGATAGATATATAGAAAGATAGATCCTACCTAAACTACCTCATTCATCACAATGCTTATTAAAGAAACAGAATACCGTTTTTCAATGGGGATATATATTGCATATTTTGACTATATCATATATTTTCATCCCGTCTTGTTTTGCAAGATGCATGCGTGCGATCGCCATCTTACGTACAAGAAACAAAGATATAAAACATTCATATGGAATCATCGAACATTATGACATGATTCAAATCTTAATTCGATACACGTGTCACCTTTATAGTCTTAAACTGAATTAATTCGATACACGTGTCACCTTTATAGTCTTAAACTGAATAACGGAATTGAGCTAAAACCAACTAGTTTTTTCATATCCAACAAATAATTTCTTTCCCTTGAGTACAAGGTGAAAGTTTTAAAAGAACATACATTATTGCCAACGATATCCCAAATCAGTCCAAAGCGTTCTAAAACCAGATCTAATGAATAAATTTATAATTTAATTCTAGTGTGGTTCCGAATAATATCTAAGCGTTGAAAGTGTTGATGTGCCTTTAGTTCCATGTGATTACTTCGGCGGCGTTATTGACCATGATATTTCTCATGGTCAGATAAAGACTTCGGTTTAATGTTATTGATTTTATTTGTTTTGTTTTTTCGTAGGAAGCTGTTTTTTTTAAAAAAAAATAACAATTCGAGCACGTCTTTTGTTCACCTACTCTGTTTCTACAGCGAATATCTACAGCCAAGACAATACTACAAGAACATGACGGATGTACTAACTAATCAGCAGTCTTACAATATGAATTAAAATAGCAAGCTCAAGAAGCAACCATGGAATGCTGCCATAGTCAGTAAGTACCTATAAAACAAGCGAATATTTGATTTGTTTATATATATATGCAACTACATATAGATTTCCTAATGCTACTACTACCACAACTACTACTACTACTACTACTACTACTACTACTACTACTAATAATAATAATAATAATAATAATAATAATAATAATAATAATAATAATAATAATAATAATAATAATAAATAGAAGGATACGTAGGGGGTTGAGGTTGGATTTAAATTCCACAAATTAGTTTTCCTGAAAAAGCGTTACCACTCCGCTCCTTTGTGGTTCAGTTGAAAGTAACGCTAATTATAATTCAGTTAAATGTGCACAGCTGCATGCCCAAAAATTTAACCTATCTGTCCTCTAAGAGGCAATTCATTTGGGTTTT